CACTGCCAAAGAACCATTCTAGGGCCAGGAATTTAGCTCAGTGATTCTGCCACCTGCCTCACAAGTGCAAGGTCCTAAATTCAATCCCTTGTACGAAAAAAAAGAAAAGAAAATTCCAGGCAGAAAAAAGTGAAATAATGTTACATTGTCCTTCCTATTTTTCAAGTGCTAAAGCCCCAAGAAACTCAACTTGTTATTTAGTTCTGATTCAATCAAGCCAGACTCCTTAAGAGCCTATAGCCACTGCTCCATGACTGTGGCTAGAATCCCACCCCCAGCCCACAAGTCACTGCTCACTGGGCCTGAGCATAACACCAAGGTTAAGACTAGCCAGTAAATCAGCCCCAAGATGAATTTATAAGGTGTCACTTCAATATCCCAGCCTCCTCCTAGCACGACCAAGCCATTTATAGGAAGTAAAGGAGGCATTGTGCCAGCAGAGCTCTTCCTCCCAGCAGCATTAAGCTGTGATGGCCCTTTCTACTGACAAAATTGAAGCAGGGCAGGTAATTTCTGAGAAGGAGTGAAAAGACTGTCCAATGTTACAGCTCTCAATCCTACAAATACTACAATGAAACATAAGCAGAAAATGTACACCAGCAAATAAGGATAAAAACTACCCAAATACAGCACCTAACAATCATTGCCTAGGACGGGTGATGTGATGAAGTAGTAGAGCACTTGCCAAGTATGTGCAAGGGTATGGTTTCCATCCCCAGCAATGCAGGGTTAAAATATAAAAGAATGTTTGCCTTCACCTCCAAATCAGGCACAGATCTGAGCTCCCATAAAAGAATCTTTCACCACCAGCACTGTAGCTATCACACCACCCATCCGGTGCAACTACCTTCCCCATTCAGGATTTCCCTACCCTGTCCTCTCCTCTCACTTCCAATTAGTCTCAATAATCAGCAAGGCGGGCATCACAATACAGAACTTTGGCCTAAGAATTTCAGGAAAATAAGTGTGGAAGAAATCTCCATTCACTCTTTTCTTTTTTTGGTACCGGGGATCCAACTCAGGACCCTGTGCTTGCAAAGCAGGTGGTGGCACCACTGAGCTAAATCCCTAGCCCCTCCATTCACTCTTCATATCTTTCAATTAACTAAACTTTACTGGATAGAATTCAGAGTTTATGGAACCAATATATTATGGTGGCAAATGATCTCATTAGGAACAACTGTAACCTCAAGACTTCTGTAATTTTAGCTCATAAAGGAAACATAACTGAAAACTTTTTCTTCTTTTAATTTGCAATGCTCTGGTTGCCCGAGTTTAAAAGCCTTTTTTTGCTTTTCTTTCTTTCTTTCTTTCTTTTGAGATAGGGTCTATCTATGTAATTCAGGCTGACCTTGAACTCATGGCAATCCTCTTGCCTCAGCCTCCTGTGTGCCAGTGCTAGTACTACAGGCATGCACCATTATGACTGCCTTTAAAAGACATTTTAATACTCTAATTAGGGTTGGGGATTTAGATCAGTGGTTCCACCACCTAGCTCTCAAGTGGAATGTCCCAAGTTTGATCCCCAGTACCAAAACAATAAAATAAATTAAAAAAATAAAACCCTAATTAAAACTAGATGTGGTGGCAGAGGTCCGTAATCCTAGCGCTTGGGAAGGTTGAGACAAGAGGATCACAAATTCAAGTGACAAGGGCAATTTAGTGACTTGGCAAGCAAGACCTTATTTCAAAAAAAAAAAGTTGAGAATGTAGCCTAGTGCCAAGGTCCCGAGTTCAATCCCCAATACACAAAACAAATAAGTACAATTAGTTGGATATAGTGGTGCACAACTGTAATCCTAGCTACTTGAAAGGCTGAGAGAGGAGTTTGAGGCAGGCCAGCCTGGGCAACTTAGTAAGACCCTTCTCAAAATTAAAAAACAAACAAACAAAAAACAACAGCCAGGTGGGGTGGTGCATGCCTGTAATCCCAGCACTCGGGGAGGCTGAGGCAGGAGGACCGCTGTGAGTTCAAGACCAGCCTGGGCTACAGAGTGAGTTCCAGGTCAGTCTCAACTACATAGTGAGACCCTGTCTCAAAAAACAAACAAACAAAAAAAACAACAACAAAACTAAATTCAAAAAAAATGTTGGGGGGAGGCTGGCTGGGTGAGCTCAGTGGTAGGGTGCTTACCTAGAATGCACAAGGCCTTAGGTCCAATTACCAATAACAAATTTTTTAAAAACACTAATTAACTATAACCAGTAACATGGCCAGTGACTTTCAGTCCTTAAAATAACTAATTCAAAACATTTTAGATCCACCCTCCCACAAAAACCCTGTAGATAGGTACCCTTCTCCCCTTCTTGCGATCCATCCACATCACCCTACTCCTTTCTTGTTTCTTCCTGGTAGCTCCATCTCAGCACTGACTTCACTCTGCCAGGTCTTTTTATTTTTTCTAATCCATGATCTAAGTTGTGAGCTCTGCAGATTCTAGATGATTCACTCCTCCACCAAGATACTCTCTATTCCTCTAAGAGAATAATCCCAAGGTTCCTGAAAGACTCTTCCTCAATCTTCCCTGCCATTCCCTCATCCACCCTCTTTGTCCTGTTTCTGTCCTCCAACTCTAGGACACCACTGAAACAAAAGAGAAATGTTCCCTTCTATCTGTCACCTACTTTATCAAAACAGTTATGTATGTTACTATCCAGAGCTTTCATGTGAGCTAAAAAGATAGCCTTTGCACAAAGGAGTATACTCCAATAGATATTATTCAAGGAGAGAACATGACATAAATCAACCTGCAGATTTTTCAGAAGTACATCTATATACATAAAGACACATGTTTTCAAAAACCAGTAGGATTAAAAAAAATCAAGAATCTACCATGATGAATGCATTTATTATCTTACAAACTTATTAATAAAAAGTTTAAATGAAAAAAATCTAAAAAGGCAGTTGGGAGTAGTGATGCATGCCTGTAATCCCAGCACTTGGGAGGCTGAGGCAGGAGGATTGCCATGAGTTTGAGGCCAGATGGGGCTACATAGTGAATTCAAGGCCAGCCAGAATTACAGAGTAAAACCCTAACTCAAAAAACAAAACAAGGGCCGGGGATTTAGCTCAGCGATTGTGCCGCCTGCCTTGCAAGCGCAAGGACCCAAGTAGGGATTTAGGTATAGTAGCACCGTGCCTGCCTTGGAAGCACAAGGCCCTGAGTTTGATCCCCGGTACCAAAAAAACAAATTTTTTTTAAAATTTAAAAATGGTTTTTAAAATAAATTTTTTAAAAGGCAACTATGGTTTTTTCTTCTTGGCACCCAAGTATGTCTATTACTAAAAGGATTTGTAGTTGAATAATATGTAAGCTTTCAGGGCCAGGGATTTAGCTCAGTGGTTCCGCCACCTGCCTTGCAAGTGCAAGGACCTAAATTTGATCCCTGGTAACAAAAAAAAGTAAGCTTTCTCCAAAAATAAGTTTTTTAGGTTAATATGATACATACGAAAAGCAATTAATAACACAGTGGTTTTGACTACATGCTTATAAAAATAATTTAGGAAAATAAGAAGCTATTGAAAAGGACTTCATCAGCCATGACCCGGAAAACCAATAACTACTTAGGCAATTCAGAGGTCACAATCGTGCTTTGGAGATTTTCTTTTTGGGGGGGGTTTTGGTTTTATGGTACTGAAGAATGAATCCAAGGCCTTTGCAATGAACTACATTTGAGCCTATGTTTTTATTTTGAGACAAGGTCTTGCTAATTCACTAGGTTGCACAGACTAGGCTTGAACTTATGATCCTTCTGCCTAAGTCTCCCAGAGTGCTGGAATTAAAGGAGTGTCCAGCCACAACTGGCTGGACCATCTCAGACAAAACGAGGTCAGTCTAAGGCCAGTGCTTTTAGCACAGTGCTGAATAAATATTGAAAAACTTCACTGAAAAAAACATCAATCTACTTCGCTTTCTACTTTGTTGTTTTGTTTTGTTTCAATGCTAGGAATCAAATCCAAGGCCTTGTACAAGCTTTTAAAAGCACTCTACCACTGAGCAAACTCTCCAACCACTCAATCTAGCTTTTTAGTCACTTCTAACAGTGGCACCAAGAGCCCTGACTACTCTAAACATTCACCTCAAAGATCAAGGCCATATCATAAACATTCTGGTAGAATACACTAAAAAAGTCACCACTTGGACCCAGCAATTGTTCATCAAGTGTCAGGACTCTGATCACAAATATTATCCTCATAAGCCTTCTCCTATCCTTGTGCCAGCAAAACAAGCCTCTTTGGTTCAAGTTTCTTGTCCTATCTCCTCACGTGTTATAAACTTTGGCAAAGGCAACCCAACATAGTGCTTTGTTTCCCAGCATTTCAATTTATACCCTCAATCACTTTGTATCCAAAAATCTTGGTTTATGCTGTTGCTCTTTTCCAGTACTGAGGACTGAAACCAGGGCCTTCCCACTGAACTGTATTCCCCAGCCCTTTCTATTTTTTATTTTGAGACAGTCTCCCTAAGTTGCCCAGGTAAGACTTAAACTTGCAGTCCTCCTGCCTCAGCCTCCCTCAGTGCCAGGATTACAGGTGCACATCACTGCACCCAGCAGCACAAAGCAAATTTTATATGTTTTGTTGGTGTTCATTTAATTTCCAACCTATTCACAAATAAGTAAGAGGAACAACAGAGGCTTATTCCACTAATTATATTAGGAAGTCCTAGACCAGCAGTGGCAAGCCTACGGCACACATGCCACAGCGGGCTGTCTGTATCACTGAAAGCTCTAAAACGTTTGCCATCACTGTCCTAGACAATGAGAAGACCCAGTACACTTCCCAGCAGAATGACGGACTGTTTCAGAAAATAATAATAAACTCTCCTTTTTATTCAGTCTTCTTTCCATTTAAAATTTCTTCCTAATTACTGGCATGCTGATTAACTTGAAGAAAGAGGATTCCTAGGCAATAAATACTGATAATAAACTATTAAAGTCTCATATTACAAACTCCGCCCAAGTCATTAGAAAAAATAAATACAATTCAAATGCCTTACCATCCTTGTTAACAGCAGTGACTTTGGCTGGGTAAAAACGACAATCAGACCAGCAAGCAAGGACCTGCTCGTTTATCTGAAATTCCTAAAAAACAAAAACAAAAAAATCCTGTTACAAATTAAATTTCTAGGACACACATTATACCAGAATTTAATGAAAGAAGCTGGGATTGATAAGAGTGTTGGAAAGGGATGGGTCTATTAAGATAAAGGAAGATGAGGCTGGGGATTTAGCTCAGTGGTACCACTGCCTGCCCTGCAAGCAAAAGGACTTGAGTTCGATCCCCAGTACCAAAAAAAAAAAAAAAAAAAATGATTGATAGATAGATAGATAGATAGATAGATAGATGGATAGATAAGCTAGCTAGCATGGGAAGACAAACAAAAGAGTTGGCAACCACACCTCTCCAAGAGCAGAGGCCTGGGCAGGTACAACAAATCCAGGATGCACCCTGAAAGTGAAGCTAAGAGTTCCAGACCATAGCAGAACACATCCAGCTTAGAAGCTAGAAGGAATGAGCCTACCTCATCTTCTGCAAAGCAGCACTCACGCTATTTAATGCCTCCCCACACTTCTAAAAGGTCTTTTAGGTAGGAAAGCACCCATTCACCTTTACTATCTTATTTTGTTCTCCCAAAACACCATCTGCATTGATAAATTCTTTAGAATGATTACTGAACAACAATCAAATGGAGCACTACTGAATAATCCTAAAGTGGAGGTAAAAAATAAAGCAGAAGGCCAGCCAGAATTCAAGTTCCTTGGTGAAAGTTAAAATGGAAAACAGAAACCAGGCTGAATCAGATCCAAAAGCAGCATGATTACTACAGATGTCTCAATGCTTGTTTTAAAAATCTTTTTGGGGGGCCTGGGATTTAGCTCAGTGGCACTGCGCCTGTCTCGTAAGCACAGGTCCTGAGTTTGCATGTTTTGGCGTTGAACCACCACATAGCCCAGGCTGGCCTCGAACTGTTCAAGCTCAGGAGGATGAGTACTGAGATCAGTGTCTCATCAGACTCATATATTTTAAAAATCTTACAAATGAAATTTCACTTGTCATTTTGAAGCCAATACAGTGCTACCACGGTTCACAACCTAATTCTGCCCATGATTCTGATCACAAACTGAACTGGACAAGAACTGAATCAAATTCAATGGTTTTAGGTTGAATGTTGACCTTTCAAGGAAATATGACTCAGTTCTCACCCAATTCAGTTTGCAACCAGAAATGTGGAAAGAAGTTCATGAACTGAGGTACACTTGAAGAAGAAAAAAAAAAAAAGACAGAGAGAGAAGGTAGTCTCATCAGTTCCAAGTTCTTCAAGGCCTTACAGAAGACCTTGCATATGAACCAACACAGGATTATCCACACATGAAATGATTAGATAGCAGTTTAATAAATGATCTAGATGTCTAGAATATCTAATGCACAGTATATCTAGAATTCATTCATTTCTTTATTCAACAAATATATACCAAAGATCTACTATGTGCCAGGCAGTGTTCTAGAAGCTAGAAAAGCAGTAGTGTAAAAGAGAAATAAAGGTGCCAGGCCTGCCTCTAATTCCAGCACTCAGGAGGCTGAGGCAGGAAGATTGCTGTGAGTTCAAAGCCAGTCTGAATTTTACAGCAAGACCCTGTCTCAAAATAAATGAGGGCCAGGGATTTAACTCAGTAGTGTCACTGCCTGCATCACAGGCACCAAGTTCCTGAGTTTCTTCCCTGGTACCTCCCCAAAAAAAGAATGAATGAAAAATAAGGTCTCTGGTTCATCATCAATGTAGCCCCCATGAAGTTACTTTATAAACGATAATGTTAAATATATCAAACAGTTGAGGACTAGGATTCTTCAAGAGCCCTAGGCACCACAGAAATCTCAGGGTTACAACTAATACCCAAAAGACTGGTCCCCAGCTGCTACTGACTTTCCCATAAAACATCAAAGGCAGAACAGAAGGGCCCAATAGCTGACCCCACTTATCACAGAACTCCCAGGATCTGTTACTCACAGAAGATCCATCCTCTTCATGTAAACCCTCTTTCCTCAGCTGTATTTTCTCTAAGGGGCGTAAATAAGGACTGTCCCAGCAAAACCATTCATCATAACGATGGTTCCAACGCTTGAAATGGATGAGTACTTTTCCTTCTTCGTAGTCAATGTCTTCTATGTGAGCTGGATACCTGAGTCAGAAAAAATGGAAATTCCTTTAATACCAACCAAAAGTAACCAAAAGGGTATTATTCCAAACTTCTCTCCACAAGAGCATGTTGTCAAAGTATTAAAGGCCTATCATTTAGAGATGCTGCACAATTGGGTCAAATAACAAATTATGGAGGGTAACCAACTTGGATTCAAATCTCACATTGCATATACTTTAAATTTATAAATATTAAATTGAACTGGGCATGGTGGCACATGCCTGTCATCCCAGATCTTAGAAGGCTGAGTCAGGAGAGTTGTCACAAGTTTAAGACCAGCCTAGGGTACAGAGTGAGTTCAGGTCAGACTGCAATACACAGTGAGGCCCTGTCTCAAAATAATAATAATAATAATAGTGGAACATTAAATTAACTTTTCAGAGTCCATGTTCTTGGTTGTAAAGTAGGTTACAGTGCCAGTTAGAAGAGATGACACATACAAAAGGCTTGACCATATGGGACGCAGAAAGAAAATATTTAACAACTAGATTATATTTAATATGTGCCAATAAGTTAGAATAACCCATGCATACCATACTTTACCAGTGTTAATTTTAAGCATTTTATAATCCATAATGGAATAGTATGCACTTGTTTAAAAAAAAGATTCTGCACATCATAATATAGAAAGCTCTCCTATAATGTACTATTATATTAAATGATGCCAAACACTATGTATGGTAACTTTGTTTTGTTTTGTTTTGTTTTGCATGCTAGGGATTAAACCTAGGGCCTTATGCATGGATAAGAAAGGGAAGGATAAGAAAGATAGGCAAGGATAAGAAACTAACAGGAATAGTTACTTTGAAAAAGTGTGGTCGGTCATCTCAGAACAGACAGGTTCTTTCAACCTCCACTTCACCCTCCTTGCAGACTAAGAGATAGGAAAACCAACACCATGCCTGGCATAATTTAATATTTATAAACTAAAGTGTACCCAGGTTGAAACTTTACTCTTTTACATTTAGCAAACAAGATCACAGTGACCCATAGGTTAATGCCAGGCCCGATGAACTAGTGCAGGGACTCTCAAGCTTTCACGTGCACCAGAGGACCTTGTTAAAATATATGGCTTCTGATTCAGTAGACAGAGGTAGGTAGGGCCTAGGATCCCTGACATGCTCCCCAGGTGATGCTGCTGCTGGTGTGGCCTGCAGCAACAAGGGTCAAAATGTCTGGTCACCAGCATCATGAGTATCAAACAGCAGTGGTGGGGGTGGCAGTGGCAGTAGTGACTTAACTGGACTCTACATCACAGCTCTAGTCATAGGCCTCCCAAACTGATAGTCTTAAGGACAGCCCCCTTGATTCACATTCCTCCAACCCTTCCAATAATTTTGTGAGTACCCAATGTTCTGACTTAAATTCTTTTGTGGTTAAAATACCTCAAATGGTTTCTATTTCCAGCACTTAAACTTTGTTGACATGAGGGGCCGGGGATTTGGCTCAGTGGTTCTGCCGCCTGCCTCGCAAGTGCAAGAGCCCGAGTTCAATTTCCGGTACCAAAAAAAATTTTTTGTTGTTGACATGAGAGGAAATTGTGGGCAAACATAGAGGTGCACAGCTATGATCCCAGCACTTGAAAGGCTGAGGAAGGAGGACCACAGCAAGTTCAAAGCCAGCCTGAACTTCATAGTGAGCTCAAAGACAGATTGAACTACACAGCAAAACACTGTCTCAAAAAGAGAGAGGGCAAGGGTGAGAGTGAGGGAATTGTGTAGGGGGAGGACAAAATAGAAGGGAAATATTCTATAGTATACCTTTTAATATTATCTTTCAATCATGCAAATGTTTTGTTCATTTCAAAAGTAAGTGGTTAAAAACAAAGAAAAATACTATATGTAGTTCTCTTAGATATACACATATTAATCATATTGCTAAATTCCCGGCCCTGTCTTCTTCATTCTTTCACTAATTGTTCTCTGAAGCATTTTGCTTGGCATTGTACCCTGCACATACTGACCACTGAGTAAATGTTCATCAAATGAATCCTCATCTCTGTTCTTCCCAAAGGTCACATGTCCTACCAATTCTCAATTCCAAGGTTCTCAGACTCCAGGTGCCCATTCCAATGTCCCTTCACAAGTTCAAGCCATCACCACTTCACGTGGGTCCTCACAGAGATCTGACTCGGTATGCTTGCCAAAATTCCTAATGATAACTACTCATCCATGATCTGCTCAATATTAACAAAAAGAATTAAAACACTACCAGAAGGAATAAACAGCCCTGAAACTAGTCTTCTATTCCAATCCAAATGGCAGTTGTTATAAATACAAGATATCTTCACAGGAGACTGGCTAACTAATGAAGTGAATAGTACAACTGTAGGAAACTAGAAAGGATTCCTAATCTATTCTTCTCTCAAAATGGATACCTAACTATAAACTTCCTCTCATTCATTCAGTCTACTAAAAGCTGGCGACCTGTGTAAAATAGCTATCTGTCCTAACATACCCACAATTCAAACCTCTTAATTTGTTTACTATCTCCACCAACAATTTTCAAACATAGAGTCTTTAGATTAATACAGTGAGTTAAATTTCACAAATTTATTTAATCTACAGAACTTTATACTGAAGTCACCTCTTTAGTATTTTCTTTTCAAATTAAAACAATAGTAACTTTGTAATCCCCTTACTAATACTATGTCATCATTCAAAAGAATAAGGCAGCTCTGATTTTTTTCTCTTTTTTTTTTTTTTTTTTTTTTTTTTTTTTTTGGTACCAGGGATCCAACTCAGGTCTTTGCACTTGCAAGGCAGGTGGCAGAACCAGAGCAAAATCCCTGGCCTTTCTACTGATTTTTAAAGATCTCTAAGTATGTGGGGTGTAGAGACGCAAATCTGTAATCCTAGCACTCAGGAGGCCTTTTCAGAAGGATCAGTTTGAGGTCAGTCTGGGCTACATAGTGAATTCAAGGCCAGCCTAAACTACATAGAGAAACTCTGTCTAAAAAAAAAAATAAAATTAAATAAAATTTAAAAAAAAAAAAGATTTCTAAGAAAAGGGAGAAAACTTTCAAGATATAAAATGGTATCACTACCATTTATTTGAGGGAGGGGAGAGAGCCAATACATTTGTACCTGTTTTTAAATACATGTGCTAGGGTCGGGGAGTTAGCTCAGCTGTTTGGTGGCCTGCCTTGCAAGCACAAGGACCCGAGTTCAATCCCCGGTACCAAATAAATAAATAAACAAAGAAATAAATAAATGCACTATCTCTGGAAGGATGATCAAGCAATCTGATTTGCCTCTTGGAAGAGGAACTGGATAGTTAGGGAACTAGAGAGAAAGTACAAGACTTATTTATTCAGTATATTATCTTTTTGTATGTTTTCAATGTTATACCATGAAAATTATTAACTATAAAAAGTATATGATTACACTTATTTTAAATTCTTCACAAACTTTCTGAGTACTTACTATAAGCCAGGAAGTGTACCAGGGTTTGCAAATGCAAAATCAAGACCTGTGATCAAAGAAGCTGTCAGAGGGAGATAGACCCTGAGAGAAGACCCACTAGCCTTTTGAGTCTTGCTACACTACACACATTCCCATACCCAGGCTGATCTCTACCCTAAACAAATGCTCTGTCTGTTCTTCCCAGTTAACACAATTATCTTTCAGCAGCCTCAGAAGCCCTGAGGGCACAATCTCAAGTAGCCCCCATCTCCTTCCTAAATTTCCTGCTTGCTTGCTTTGCTTGCTTGCTCCCTTCACAGCACTGACCTCAATGTGTAATTATTTCCTTTGCTCTCTGTTTATTTCTGTTGAAGATCTGCTCCCCAAGAGATAAAGAGGCACCCCTCAAGGCTTCTGTCCCTTATGTATTACATTATCCTCCTGCGGAATAAGCATTTGTCTACAGGTACAAGTAAAGTGTAATAAAAGATACCAGGTGCCCCAACAGAAGATTCCTTACAACAAAGCTAGACACAGGAAAGAAAAGTCAGAAAAGAGGAAGAGGACCATGGAAGAGAAGGAGCCAAGACAACTCTAGGAAAGAAAAGGGTATTTGATCTCAATACTGAAAGATGAGCAGGTGTTTTCCAGATGATCAAGCTGGGGAGTATTTCTGAGCGTGAGGTAGAACCAAATCAACATAGCAGAGAGGAAGGAAAGAAAATAAGAGGGCAAGTACATGCATGAAATTGAAGGTAAGAAAAGAAACAGCAACTCCTATGTAGGGGGCTATACAGGAAATTTAAAGACTGGCAAATAGGCCCTAAGTGACTGTTAAAAGGAAGCAAGGCATGGTGGCACATACCAGTAATCCCAGGGCTCTGGGGACTAAGGCAAGAAGATTAAATTGCGGGCCAGCCTGAGCTACACAGTGAGTTTAAGGTCAGCCTGAACTATACAGTGAGACTGGTCTTGAAAAAAAAAAAAAAAACAAGAGTGTTTCCTAAGAACAAACCACAGACCACTGGGTATTAGTGAACAAAATTGGTCCACAAAGCCTCTATAGGGAATGTATAGTGTACTTTTATATAATCTAGACCATCTTCATCAGAGCTCCCCAATTTGGGTGTCACAAACAGGTCACAAGAAAGAAATAACATAAAAAGGGTTGAAGATGCAGGCCATGGTGGCACACATCCGTAATCTGAAGGAGGCTAAGACAAGAATATTGTAAATTTGAGGCCATCCTGGACTACACAGTAAATTCAAGGCCTGCATGGAGCATATACTCAGACACTCACGGAGAAAGAAGAGGAAGAGGAAGAGAAGGAGGAAGAGCAAAGGAGCAGAGGCAGGAAAGGGAAGGAGGAAGGGATAGGGGAAAGGACAGAGGAGGAAGAGGAGGAGAGAGAGGAAGAGGAAGAGGAAGAGGAATAGGGAAAGTAGAGAAGAACGGGAGGGAGGCCAGGGCAGGAGGAGGATGGGAGGGAGAGGGGAGAAGAGGAAGAGAAGGCAGCTGCACACTACCAAAAAAAAAGGTTTTAAGGGCATGGGTATGAGGAAGGAATGAGAACCAAG